GTGTGTCTTTATATATATATATATATATATATATATATATATATATATATATATATATATATATATATATATATTCTGCATTTATTTATTGTCCATGGATTGTCCTTTATGGCGTCATGTTCTATCTTCCCTCCATGTTTCCTTGGAAATGTGAGTTTTGCTGCCATGTCAGTGTCTGTTTTCGTTATTTAAAAAATATATTTCTTCATACTTTAAGCTCTCCGAATTCTGTCTGCACCTTGAGTCCAACTAAACCTACAGCCATGACAAAGTCTTTTGGATAAAAGATGAAATGTATGAACGAAGAAGAATCCACCCAGAGGACCTGACTCAACAGTGTTAGATGGTTTTAAAAAGGTTTGATTCTGTTTCACTCCACGATCCTCGAGTCTCTCAGTCTCTGCAGGTACAGACGATGTTTGTACTGAGACAATAAAACCTTCTTGGTGTGATGGGAGGTGGACTTACCAGGCCACCCGGTGAACCCTGTATCACCAGGGGGTCCAATGAAACCAAAAAGACCTCTCTCTCCATCTCTTCCTGGATCTCCCTGGAGTCCTGACCAACAGACACAAACACTGATAGTTTTAGTAAAACCCATAGGAACTCTAGGGTCAATGGCTCCTCCTGTCATATTTACCTTGTGGTCCTGGGTTTCCAGGTTCTCCATTTGTACCATCTTGACCTGGTAGCCCTGTGGGGCCCGTGTCTCCTTTAGGCCCTGTAACACCTTCAGACCCTAAAGAAGAGGAAAATGAAAGCAAACCAACACTTTATGGCTAGAAGAAATTAAACTCAATTAACAGTATAAGCTTAAATTAATTGGTAGCTGATAAATTCACGGATAACTTTTTCTGAAAGCTAAACTTAAATTTTACTTTCAATCAGTTTTATCCAAACTCTTTTGATTAAAAGAGTCAAAGCAAAGATAAACAAAGAAATACAAGAAAATTCCACACTAAAATAGAATAGAAAACCTTGGTTTCCAGGGTCTCCAGGTGCTCCTAACACCGTAATGTTTGCTTGGACCCCTTTCGGCCCAGGTTCTCCTCTGTCCCCGAGATCTCCTGGGGCCCCCTGAGAGCCTCTGGCCCCATCCTGACCCCTCTGACCTAAGAAACAAACCATTAAAGAGAAGAGTTAGATCAATACAGTGACACAAACCGGATCTGTTTATTGTTAAATAAAACCTTTTGGTCCTAGTGGTCCAGTTTCTCCTTTTACTCCAACCTGTCCTGGACTCCCAGGTAGTCCTAGGGGACCCATGTTCCCTCTAATCCCTGAAATACAAAGATTGTCAGTAGTCCTTCAAACCCTCTTATATAGAAAATAAAATAATAGAGTTTATTGTACTTGAACACTAGTGAACAATGGTTTGTTCGATGGTGAACCTGAATCTCTATATCTGCACTTTTGTTCATCTTCACATCATAAATTTGTTTTAATAATCATTAGTTTTTATAGAACAAAGTTTGAAGCATGATATAAAATATGACTGTAGATTACCAAAAGTTAAGTCAGGTTAAAAAGTCTGAACAAAGTGGCATCGTGTGAGGTTCCACCTTCTCACCTGGACTCCCTGGCTCCCCATCGTTCCCTCTCACGCCCTTCTGCCCCTCAGCCCCCATTTGCCCTGGATCTCCATCATAACCTTGTCTCCCTGCTGGTCCCTGAATCCCTTGTGTTCCCATGCTAGGGAACCCAGGATCTCCCTTCAGACCTCGGGATCCCCTGATCCCTAGCAGACATGTACGACATGAAGTTTTCTCAGGCAGTTAAAGATATGAGCCTCACTCTGACCTGTTCATGGATGTAATACCTATGAATCCGATGAAACCTTTTGGTCCTTGCGCTCCTTGAGGCCCAGGAGCTCCAGGAACACAGACTCCAGCCAGGCCAGTAGGACCAGGGACACCATCCAGACCATGATGACCTAACAGACACTTCAGTTTAGTTTTGGTGTTGATTTATTTGGTTTTCTAGTCTTGCACTAGGACAACCTGCTTGTCAATTCAATTCAAATCAAATCAAATCAAGTCAATTCAGTTTATTTCTATAGCTCCAAGTCACAAAAGAAGCTATCTCAGGGAACTGTACAGAAACATCCACACACATAAAAAGTCAATTAGTAAAAGTTCTCTATCTACGGAAGCCAGCAGATTGCATTGAATCTTCATGTCATCATCATCTCCCCGTGTGCCATAATAGCTGCCTACTGTCCCACCTGCGTGGGTGTCATGGGCCAAATGCAGAGGGCAAACTTTGTTATTGTGTGGGACCACACTGTTATAAGACAAAGCACTTTCACTTTCAGGAAAATAAAATCCATAAAATCTGATCCATTTTATGTTAAGATGGAGTGGGACATGGATAGAAGGATTGGAGCCTCAACTTCAGTAATGAGGGCGTTGCTTCGGTCAGTCATCGTGAAGAAATAGTTGAGTCCAAAGGTAAAGCTCTGGATTTACTGGTGGGTTATTCTCCTGGACCTGATGCCTCAATGACCCAATCATAGATATGGGTTAAAATGGAGATGGAAATGAAAGGAAAACATATTGTGGAAAAGGTTTACCATATGTTACGCACTATACATCGCTCCAGGGTATAGGTCACATCAGTCAAAAAGTGCCTCATGATGAGGAAAAAAAACATATATAAGTCGCTTCCGAGTATAAGTCGCATTTATTATGCGTTGCCAATTACCCTTGTGTCTGGGGAACCGTGGGCCAGTTACCACCCTGGGTGCGGTCGAGTCACACTGAGAACAGTCTCTCCCGGTTGGCAGCCATGCCGGGAGAGAGGGCCCGTCCCTCCGCCGTCAGAGCAGGGAGGAAGGCCGTAGCGAGGCACGTGGTCTGCGGCACCAGGAAGCGGTGAGGTGCAGATGGGAGGACGCTGTAGAGCTCGCGGTTGCGGTGCACTGCTGTGGAGGAAATGTGCCTGGCGGGAGCCAGCCAGACATGGGGGAGAAGGTCCCCAGCGAGGAGGGATCCTCTGCCGCTGAGCAGCTGTCCCTTCCGCTGGGGGGATTCCCCCGGGCAGACTGCGCGGACTCCACCCATTTGCATATTTTATTACCTGCAGTTTGTAATCTGCAGAATAGCATTTTCTTTTTGGGGTCATTTTACTTTTGTTGTTTTTCTCAGTTGTCTCTAAGTGAATGTTTGGGGGGGTGGGGGGGTGGTTTTAGTGTTAGAGGAACAACAGAATTTGTCAAAAGCCTGGAGGGCCCTCTCGCAGCTGCAAATGGTAATGTTTACTCTTTGGTTCATGTCTTTATGAATGAACATTTAACGTGTCAGTCAAAAATTGAGTTATGAATAGGAAAAAAAACAAATAGGTCGCTTCAGACGTAAATAAGTTGCTTTGAACTATATGTTGCAGGACTGGCTAAACTATGAAAAAAAAGAACGACTTGGAGAATATGGTAATAACGATCCAGACTTGGGCGTTCTGCAGGCATAACCAACAAAGCTATTTAGGACTGCTGCTATGACTGGTTTAATTTGAGAATGTAATTGATTTTTGTCCCTTTCATGCAAGACATGTCCAGTAATGATGATGTCAAATTAAATTTAAAACTTAGGTCTATGTCTCTGAACAGAAACAGTTTGTGTTGATTACAAAACAACCACCCAGAAAGAACAAACCTGAGCTCAGTTTGTTGATAATAAGCAGGAGGTGAGAACATATTTACATTCCAGAGTACAGACTAGGGTTGGGCATCGTTTGAATTTGAGCGATTCCAGTTCCGATTCTTTGTTTCGATTCCGGAGGAGGAGGAGGCAGAAAAAATACTCTGGTGGAGCGTTTCAAAGACGGGCCACTCTATTACTTCTGAGGGTCGGACCCAGAGGAGGAGGCAGAGAAAATAGTCGGGCGGAGCGCTTTAAAGACGGGCCATTCTGTAACGTCTACACCTTCCTTTGCATGATGGAAAATTATTGGAAGTGCTGCACTGAGCTGACTGGTCATTTTATTCAAGTTAAGCCACGCTTTCGATCGCGGCCGCTCACTCTCCATGTATGCGAACACTTCCGGTGGATTCTTCTTTGTTGGTTTTCGGCGGGCGGCTTCTACTTCTGGTTGGCGGACTAGGCATCGAAAGTAGGTATCGAAAATAAATATTTTGAACGATTCCGGGAAAACCGAACAGTTAATCCCAGTTCCAATCGATTCTTGATCCTCGATCCCCAACCCTAGTACAGACTGTGACTTCTTAAAATACTTGTCATGTTTATATCAGAAACAGACAACTAGAACAGGGAGATTTACAGGAAACATCGGCGCAGACCAGAGTGTGTAGTCAGGTTATTAGTGAGGCTTTAAGTGATGGTCAGTAAATGTTATATGATGCACCATTTTTGTTTTCAACAAATTTGTTTGCCTTAGTTAGCACGCAACACTGTGATCTGCAGTAAGAGTAGGGAGCAGGTGGAAGAAAGTCTGGAGAGATGGAGGTGAGCTCTGGAAGTAAGAGTCAGGAGAAGCAAGGCACAGAGGAGGTTTTTGGGTGTAAGGATCTGCAGAGGGTTGGGGTAACGGAGGTGGATGCTGGTGGAGGGTGAAATGAAGATATGACGATCTGCTGTGGTGACCCTTGAAGGGGCAACAGAAATTAGAGGCGTATAAACCTAATTTATTTAAAAGTGACCAAAAACATGGTGGATGAGAACGAGACTTGAGCTTGGGCCGTCTAAAACCAGGACCTACAGACTTTATGAGGGGGGACACTTGTCTCAACCATTTGAACGACCCATCAGAACCTGCTTTAAAACAACTTCAACATGGAAACAGCTTTAGAAACAGACAAGACGAGGGCAACACATCTGGAACACTCCTGTTTACCTTTGAACCCTGGAAGACCCACTTTTCCTTTCAGTCCAGGAACTCCCTGTGATCCCAGAAGTCCAGGCTGTCCTTGTGGTCCAACAGAGCCATCTTCTCCTTGAGAACCTGGCTGACCCTGATTGCCTGATAAACCACTACCCCTGTTCCCCTTTGACCACACAGACCAGCAGAACAGGAGTTAGGTCACTAAAAAACTCTGTCATTGCTCTTAAATACAAAAATGAATTGAGGACTCAGTTTATAATCGACTGATTGATTGTTTATAGTTGACCTGAGTGTTTCTACCTTCTGGCCACTTGTTCCTGGGTGGCCCGATGGCCCCTCTCGACCCTTGACACCAAAACTGGGAAAACCGGGGTTTCCAGTAGAACCCTTGTCTCCTGATGCCAGAAGGTACATTTGTTAAGATTTATGTCCCACAAATGTGTGAACCGTTATATTGTCTCTATTAAACTCACCCTTTAACCCCACGATGCCTGGGAAACCTGGAACAGATGCTCCGTCAAGTCCCTGCTCTCCCTTTGGTCCCCACGGTCCCTGAAAACCTGCAGGTCCCGTCACACCTGAGACCAGAGGGGAACACAAAACACAGTTATAGTAAAATCAGTGTACAAATTGGATTCCAAAAAAGTTGGGACACTAAACATATTGTAAATAAAAACTGAATGCAATGATGTAGAGATGGCAAAGGTTAATATTTTATTCGTAATATAACATAGATGACAGATCAAAAATTTAATCTGGGTAAATGTAATATTTTAAAGGAAAATATGTTGATTCAAAATTTCACAGTGTCAACAAATCCCAAAAAAGTTGGGACAAGTTGCAATAAGTGGCTGGAAAAAGGAAATTGAGCATATAACGAAAGCTGGAGGACCAATTAACACTAATTAGGCCAATTGACAACATGATTGGGTATAAAAAGAGCTTCTCAGAGTGTCAGTGTCTCTCAGAAACCAAGATGGTAAGAGGATCACCAATTCCACCATTGTTGTGCAGAAAGATAGTGCAGCAATACCAGAATGGTGTTACCCAGCGTAAAATAGCAAAGACTTTTAAGTTATCATCATCAACTGTGCATAACATCATCAAAATATTCAGAGAATCTGGAACAATCGCTGTGCGTAAGGGTCAAGGCCGTAAAACTCTACTGGATGCTCGTGATCTCCGGGCCCTTAAACGTCACTGCACCTCAAACAGGAATGCCACTGTCAAGGAAATAACAGAATGGGCTCAGGAATACTTCCAGAAAGCATTGTCAGTGAACACAATCCACCGTGCCATCCGCTGTTGCCAGCTGAAACTCTACAGTGCAAAGAGGAAGCCATTTCTAAGCAAGCTCAGACGTTTGCACTGGGCCAGGGGTCATTTAAAATGGAGTGTGGCAAAATGGAAGACTGTTCTGTGGTCAGATGAGTCACGATTTGAAGTTCTTTATGGAACACTGGGACGCCATGTCATCCGGACCAGAGAGGACAAGGATAGCTCAATATGTTATCAACGCTCCCTTCAGAAGCCTGCATCACTGATGGTATGGGGTTGCATGATCGCTTGTGACATGAGCAGCTTGCATGTCTGGAAAGGCACCATTAATGCAGAGAACTATGTTCAGGTTCTAGAACAACATATAACATATAACAACATCTAAACAACATCTCTTTCAGGGAAGACCCTGCATTTTTCAACACGATAATGCCAGACCACATTCTGCAGCAATCACAACATCATGGCTACGTAGGAGAAGGATCCGGGTACTGAAATGGCCAGCCTGCAGTCCAGATCTTTCACCTATAGAGAACATTTGGTGCATCATAAAGAGGAAGGTGCGACAAAGAAGACCCAAGACGATTGAACAGTTATGCCCCTTTTGCACTGCCCCTAATAAGCCCCAATTCTGGGCAGTCCGTCACAGAAAGAACCCTTTTGCACCAGTACTTTAGTATTTTTAGCTGACTTGAGTGATTCAGGACTTCTTTTCATGCCTGCTTCTTTGGTGGGACCGAGCGAGCTCAGCCGAGCTGAGTCCGGACCGAAACGTGAATGCTGGACTCTGATTGGTCAGGGGGAGAAGTCACTGGATCTCAGAAACTTTTCACTGATCCGCCATTTGCAATATCTCTGGATGCGGAGCAGCGACTGGATCTATTTTTAAGATTTTAAAAACAATGATGACAACGCCGTGTTTAATTCTGAAGTCCAGGCGTTTTTTGTGTTTGGTGACCGACTATAAAATTCGAGCGTGCGGTGTCACCGCGGAGGATCATACGAGCTGCTGAGCCGTTGAAGACCGCGAGGCCGAGTCCCGGCCTCGCCTGCTCACAAAGGCCAGATTCGAGCCCTGGCAGGCAGGAGGACCGGGATGGAGGGACGGGGGGGGGTGGAAACGTTTTTTTTTTTTTTTAAACATTTTATGTATAAAATATACGTTTTTTTAATCAGCGAAGATTAAAAATAAATAAACGGTGCCGGCTTTATCGTGAAATCCTGTTTTCCCTTTGACTTTAATAAATAATATGTTAATTAAAGTTAATTCAACTGAAAAATTATAAAAAGACTAAATTATTGAATCTCTCATATTTCCCTCAAACATGTTTAAAGAAGAGACGCAGCCTTTGGTTCAACATTATTCTAACCCACAGATGTACAAATCACAAAACAAGCATTACACTTTAAATTAAAGCTTTAAATCAAAGGTAAAGTTTAATTCAAAGCTAAAAATAATCTGTATACAAGAAAAAAATAATCTGTATACAAGAAAAAAATAATCTGTATACAAGAAACAAAACGACAATGAGTGCAAAAACATCAAATGATGAAGAAAAATATAGAATTTTAAATATAGATATCCTGATGCATGCTCAATAACCCAGGTAGAAAAATCTAAAAAAGTTAAGTCTGGTCCTCTGGACGTTCAAAAACAAACAAACAAACAAACAAACAAAAATGTAGAAATGTTTCTTCTTTCATCCAGTCTTATATAAATAGCTCTGAGCTGAATACAGCACCTCAGACTGAAGAAGACATTCGGATGAAAGAAGAAACGTTTCTACATTTTTGTTTTTGTTTGCTTGTTTTTTGAACGTCCAGAGGACCAGACTTAACTTTTTTAGATTTAAATATAAATGTTTTTGTAGAATCTGGTTCATCAGATTTAATTCAGTTCAGGTTATTTATACAGCGCCAAGTCACAACAGAAGTCGAGTCAGGGCACTGAACAGAAATATTAATATATAAAATAAGTTAACAGAAACATTTATATATATAAATTAATATTATTTATCTGAGGAGCAGACTGCTTTGAGTAACTCAACGCAGAACTCTCATTAGCAGGACTTGGATTCTGGACACGAGCCAGGCTGAGCTGAGCCAGGCTGAGCTGAGCCAGGCTGAGCAGGGCTGAGCAGAGTTGGGGCTGATTAGGGGCAGTGCAAATGGGGCATTAGAGTCCTGTATTAGACATGAATGGGAGAGCATTCCTATTTCTAAACTTGAGAAACTGGTCTCCTCTGTCCCCAGACGTCTGTTGAGTGTTGTAAGAAGAAGGGGGGATGCCACACAGTGGTAAAAATGGACTTGTCCCAACTTTTTTGGGATTTGTTGACGCCATGAAATTTGGAAACAACAGATTTTTCCCTTAAAATGATACATTCTCTCAGTTTAAACTTTTGATCTATGATTTGTGTTCTATTCTGAATAAAATATTAGATGTTGACACCTCCACATCATTGCATTCAGTGTTTATTCACAATTTGTTTAGTGTCCCAACTTTTTTGGAATCCGGTTTGTAAATGATGATCCAGAATTTGATGACTTTTGCTTCTTTTAGCTTCTTTTTGCTGTCTTTTGTTTCTAACATTTTTCTACTTGTCGGTAGCATTTGTCTACTTTTGGCTTGTAGTTAGTGTTTCACTATTTTCAGCTATTGTGCTTCTTTTATATTTAGCTATTGTTTCAATGCTTGTAGTTCTTATTGTGTATTTAGTATTTAGTTCTTTCTGAGCTTTTTTCACTGTCATTTTGAATTAGTTGTAGTGGGTTTAGGTGTACCTGAAGTAAGAACTAATCTCAGCCACATTGGTCAGGCAGGTAAAGGTCTTACCTTCAGGTCCTGGGTTTCCAGCTAAACCTTTCTCTCCCTTCTGGCCTGGATCACCTGGATAATTTAAAACTTCTCCTGGAGCACCTTTCTCACCTGAAAAATACAGACTGGCCATTAGCTTTGGCTCAGAGGCCTGGTTCCAAGTTAAGACAACTCCAGAATGGACCCACCTTGTTTTCCAGGTTCTCCTGGTTCACCCAGAAATCCAATGTCTCCTTGAAGTCCTTGAGGGCCTGGAGCCCCGATCCCAAACTGTCCCGTGGGTCCCATTTGCCCTGTCAGGCCTCTGGGACCAGTGGCACCAAGTGATCCCCTGTCACCTTTTGGCCCTGGCAGACCCTGAAAACAGAAACCATCAGTGACCTGAACACAAACTATGGAGACTGGATGGCTTGTTGTCATGGAAACACATCTCTATATAAGGCCATGGTTCAAAGATCAGTTTGTCTCCTTCTCGTGGTTCTAATTATATATGCACCATCTTTACAACAAACAACTCCAACATGGAGAAGATTTATAAAATCACCTGAGCAGTGACACGGCCCTCCCAAACTACCTGTAAATTAATAACTCACCGGGTTTCCTTTCTGTCCCTGAACACCTTTAGGTCCTGGGTCTCCTGAAGATCCATCTGTCCCTTCGAGTCCTTGTGGTCCAGGTTCCCCTTGCTCCCCGTCCTCACCCTTCTGCCCCACCATCCTCATCATTCCTGGCTCGCCTGCGGGTCCCGGGAGTCCCTTGAAGCCAGGATGACCGAAGGCTCCCTGAGGACAAAGTCGGGCAGCAGTTTAAGAACGGAAAATGTTGCTGATCTGTTGGTTTATTTTTCATCATCCAGAACAACCAACATTTGTAACTCAGCTGCAACAACCCAAACAGCTTAAGCTACTCTCTAAAACCAAATAAATGCATACAACTAGAACTCCTCAAAGGAATGCATATCACCCGCCTCCTTACAGGCCAAAGGCACAAACAAAGACCTTCTGTGATCTGTTAGTGCTCAAAGTATGAGTTGAAGATGGCTTCCAGCTACTACCATGCCAAATGTTGGCTCAATATTTGGCTGAAAACAGAAGTCAGTGAGAGGTCGGCCATGTGCCACAGTGTTTCACAGACTTTGCTTGGTCAGAATGTGTCCAGGTGTGAAGAAAACATGCTTACTTTATTATTTTATTTATTTATTAATCTTTATTTAACTATTCAAATCCCATTGAAATCACATATCTCTTTTCCAAGGGAGACCTGGAGGCAGCCTAGCATGCATGTTTTTGGTCAATGGGAGGATACTGGAGAAAACCCACGCAAGCACGAGAAGAACATGCAAACTCCACGCAGAAAGACCCCAGGTCCAACCGGGGATTGAACCCAGGACCTTCTTGCTGTGAGGCAACAGTGCTAACCACTGATCGATCCATCGTGCTTACTTGTGAAGACAATGTCTTTGTGAGTCTAATTTACACCGTCGAGATAACTGGGGACTCTAAGTGTTATTGGTGCAACTCTTAAATGACAGATCCAGACTTATTAACCTCCATAAAACACATTATGATGGTCCAAATAAATCTCCCAACAGTCAATCTATGAATCCTTTCTTCATTTATGAAATAAAGCACCAACATTATTGGCAACCACACAGAGACATTTGTGAAGACGTAAACCATAAAATTCTCCATTGGCAGCACAAAACTTTTTTTTTTTCTTCTGGCTTTAGGAGCTTTATAAAACGAGCAGAAAGCTAAGGGGAACTCACTTGTGGACCAGGTGGTCCTGCAAAACCTTTGGGTCCTTGGTCACCAGTGGGGCCTGTAAACCCAGCTGAACCTAGAAGCCGGGTAAAGGACAGGAGAAGTTTAGATCTTCACTCTGGTCCTGAATACAACTTTTGAAATATCACTAACAACAACACAGCAGTTTCTGTCAACCAGCCGCTCAGATGATGAAAGTTAAACATCTCAGTAAAAAAAAAAAAATCAGGTGTGATGTGCTTCTTACCAGGCACGCCACTGTCACCTGACACCCCCGGTTCACCTGGAGGTCCAGGCTGGCCGGAAACAAAACTGCACACTGAACATATCTGCCCTTTCTCACCTTAAAAAAGAACAACAATCCATCAATAAGAACAAACATGACTGTCCAGGTGTAACCCCCCCACCCCCCCACCCCCCATGACCTCTGGAGAAAGGTACCCTCCCTTGACCCTGTGATCATGTGACCCTGTATGGAAATCAGGTAAAGACAATAGATTGATGTATCTTTATTGTTGCATGTATGCACAGTAACACTTTTCTGGATTTCAGTTTGAAGTTCTTGAGTTTTCGTGTTCCAGTGACGCCATTAGACCAACATTAAAGGCCTGGTGTTGGGTGGGTGGTACAGTGGAAAGTATCTCAGGTGTGAGGTTTTGTCAAAGGGAAGCTGTACTTCAGCTACGTTAATATTAGATGACATAATATTGATTGTCTGACTATTAAAGACCCTCCGGGCTCCCGCCGTGGTTTTCAGCCACTCACCCTTCTGACCAACCTCCCCTCTCAGTCCAGGAAGTCCTCCCAGACCATTTAAACCTTTAGCTCCTGGAAGACCAATCCCTCCCTCCATAAAGTCTGAAATAAATAAATAAGACAGATTTTCATATGTTGGAATAGTTTCCTATTTAAAGATGTTCTAACAGTTTTCAATAAACGGTCAGCTTCTGAGGATTAAAAGAACGTAAAACACGATGAAACTAAAGAACGTTACTTGGTATTCCTGGTTCTCCAGGCTCTCCTTCAGCTCCATGAACACCTGGAACTCCAGTCAGTCCTGGAGACCCTTCAATCAAGGGTCCAGGCTCGCCTGGCTCTCCTCTAGGACCGGAAGAACCTGGTGGTCCCAGGGAACCTGGTGGACCATTAGGGGCCATACCTACAGGAACAAAAATTACTCAACTACACAGAATATTGTCTAACAAGGTTGAGTCAGGTCCTCTGGACGGACGTTTTATGGTTTATGTTAAAGCTTCTGGACTAAATTATTTTCAAAGATAACTTGTTTCTAACAAGATTGACTCCTCTGTATTGATGACCAGTTATTATCTGATTATTGACTGATCTACAACATTGAGTGGGAGAGATAGTCAGAGGTGTTTACCTCGCACGCCTTTCCATCCTGGAAAACCAATATTCCCTGAAACAGATCCAACAGATATTGTTAAATTAAGTATTATTTTATCTGGTCACATAAGCCATCAGCTTCACAAAACAAGTAGATCCTTACTGGCAGAGTTCATCCAGACCTTGTTTAAATCCGATTACCATTTATGACTTTAATTATTTCCAACCAGCTTAAACTTAATTTGCTGCACCTTGGAAATTGACAATATTTCATTTTATCTTAGCTGATTTCAACAAACACTCATGAACAGCTGAGCGGTTCACCTAACTTCATAAAAGAACAACTTATTGCACGTTCTTCTAGAAAAACCTGGAAAATTATGATTTTTACATGATGAGCCTCTCTTTTACCGGACGTAAAATGTAACAATTAAGGTGAACTTTTACTGAGTTTCATGGTAGTAAATTCTAATTTTCATCAATACCTAGTTTCATTGTTCTGTAAGTGGTGAAACACATGTTGAGTTTTTATTTGTTCATAAAAACAGCATCACCAGGAACTTATAACCAAACCCATCAGTGCATAGACCAGAGTTGGTTTACTACCTTGCTCTCCAGGGAATCCTTGGGGTCCGGCGGGCCCCGGGACACCCAGCTGGCCTTTCAGAAATATGTTTATGGGAACTGCCTGATTGAAATAAAAGAAAATAAATTCATATATATTTTGAAAATTGTACATAAGTTTGTAGTGATATTAGCCCCGCCCCCAAACAAAGTGTTGAGGTTTCAACATGTACAGGTCCTTCGCAAAAAATTAGCATATTCCGATAAAGGTCATTATTTTCCATAATGTAATGATAAAAATGAAACTTTCATATATTTCAGATTCATTGCACACCAACTGAAATATTTCAGGTCTTTAATTGTTTTAATACTGATGATTATGGCATACAGCTCATGAAAACCCAAAATGCCTGTCCCAAAAAATTAGCATATTTCAGACACCAAGCAGCCGGGACCCCAGGCCGGCTGGGTGACGGTCCAGAGCAAGCGTAGTGCTAAGGCTAAGCCCCCAGATCGCCACTGACCAATTCACGTTTCTAATCGAATTTCCTCACTCAGTGACACACCCGCTGAGAAACAGACCCTGGTTATTGGCAGCTCCATAGTCCCAAACGTGGCTTTAGGGACTCCAGCGACCATAGTCAAATGCATTCCGGGGGCCAGAGCGGGCGACATAGAATCTTATCTGAAACTGCTGACTAAGGCTAAGGCTAAATACAGTAAGATTGTTATTCATGTCGGCGGTAATGACACCCGGTTACACCAATCGGAGGTCACTAAAATTAATGTTGCTTCGGTGTGTGACTTTGCTAAAACCATGTGGGACTCCGTAGTTTTCTCCGGCCCCCTCCCCAACCTGACCAGCGATGACATGTTTAGCCGTATGTCGTCGTTTAACCGCTGGGTGTCCAGGTGGTGTTCTGACAACGACGTGGGCTACATAGATAACTGGAGTTCTTTCTGGGGAAAACCTGGTCTGATGCGGAGAGATGGCATCCATCCCAGTTTGGACGGAGCCGCTCTTCTTTCTAGAAATATGGCTGATTTTGTTTATACCCCAAATTATTGACAACCCAGGGTCCAGTCCAGGAAGCAGAGTTGTAGTCCTCCACCTCTCTGCTGCTTCTCCTCTGTTACCCACCCACACCCACATTGAAACAGTGTCAACTCGCCCACGGCTCAAATTAAATAAACCAAAAATCAGCTCTAAAAACATAAACCATAAAAATCTGATTAAAATAAACAGTTACTTTACCAGAGCAAAATCATCAAATCATTAAATGTGGATTATTGAACATCAGATCTGTTTCCTCTAAATCTCTGTTAGTTAATGAACTGATAACTGATCATCATATTGATTTATTGTGTCTGACAGAAACTTGGCTACAACAGGAGGATTTTGTTGGTATAAATGAATCCACTCCTGTTAATTATTTAAATGTTCATGTTCCTAGAACAACTGGCCGAGGTGGAGGAGTAGCTTCTATTTTTCAGGCAGGATTATTGATTAATGCCAAACCAGTTATTAGTTATGATTCTTTTGAATCGCTGTCCCTCAGTCTTTCTCATCCAAAATGGAAATCAGAAAAGACACTTTTACTAGTTGTTATATATCGTCCACCAGGAGCTTACTCTCAGTTTTTATCTGAATTATCAGAATTATTAACTGACTTATTATTAAATACTGATAAAATCATCATAATGGGTGATTTCAATATTCATGTGGATGTTGAGAGTGATAGTTTAAGCATAGCCTTTAATAATTTAATAGACTCGTTTGGTTTTACCCAAAACGTCCGCACATCTACTCATTCTTATCATCACACTCTTGATTTAGTTCTGACCTATGGTGTAGAGATTAAGGACTTGGTAATAGTTCCGCAAAATCCTGTTCTGTCCGACCATTTTTTAATAACTTTGAGTTTACATTAAATGGCTACACAGTCACTGAGAGTAAATTTCATCTCAGCAGGTGCTTATCAGAAAATGCTGTAACCAAATTGAAACAATCTCTTCCATCAATGTTTTCCTCTGTCTTGCAGAGTAATGCATCAGAGAACAGAGACCAAGGTTGTTTTCATACCAGATAGTCCGGTAGACTCGGTTCGGTTGGGGACCAATATTCATGACCTTTTGTTACATTTGAGCTGGTGCGTTTGCATTCACACTGCACTGTGCAGTCGAGTCAACCTGTTGAACCAACCTGTTGAACCAACCTGTTGAACCAACCTGTTGAACCAACCTGTTGAACCAACCTGTTGAACCAACCTGTTCCCCCGCTCACCTGTGGGGGCGCTGCACCAAGAACTACTGAAAGAAACGACACAAAAACCTCTGAAGACACGTCTTCTTCTT